CAGACTTGCCTTGTCATGGTGGTGTCATGACACATAGTGATTTTTTTCCCCTTCGCTAAATGGGCGTGGCCAGCGCTTGACACATCCAGTCCGTGGGCTGCGAGTTTGACAGACCTATTTTAGTCTCTGTAGCCCACAGATTCAGAGGTAAGGGCTGCATTTCTTAAATCAATTTTTAAAATTTTATATATACAAATCAGAGTAACCAAAGTAAAAGCATCAATCTTCTTGTTTCCTACTTTTTATGAAAGTTTTTTTTCTTCAAAAATGGTACAGCACACACACACACACAAACTGTGTGGTTTTCCACCCCCCACAGCTGTTTTATTATACAAAATTTGTTGGGTATAACAATGATACACCAACTAAGTTTGGGTGAATAAATATATAAACCAAGGTTTGGGTGTTTGTAACTTGTAGCTTTAAGCACCAAACTGCTTGTAATTAACTAATTAAGGGTGCGGTTACAAACGGCAATAAAAGGCAGTAAGAGAAACGTAATCTCTCTGCTTGCTCTCTGCTTGCTCTCTGCTTGATTTCTGCTTGCTACTGTTTGTTTGCTACTATTTGCTACAACTGTTTGGATACCTGAACGAAAGGACTACTTCATTGATGTGCTGATATCCTGTGAATACTCAGCGTTGTCTTCAAAAGGAAAGGTATCAGAGGAGAAGATATCTTTACAAGCAGATAAGGATATAGAACTGACTAGTACATGGACTAAGTTACTGAATGGATATATTTGTGAATGACATATGGACTGATTGACAATGTTTAAACTCGAATTGGATTAAACAACTATTTAAACTACAAACAGTGTTTGTCATCAGTGTGTGTAAACCCTAGGGCCCTTCCTCTCTCATTTGGCTGCCTGGCTTGACTGCTGCTGCACATTCTGTTTTTTGGGGGTTTGTCCCCAAACACTAACAAAATTATTCTATTTACCACATATCTATATCTATTTGATCTTCTCATTTAATTTTTAACTATATAACAATAATTTAAATGAAAGAGAATTTTCTAGCATTGTTCTTAAGAGGCATTACTTGTACTACTTATATAATTAATCGTATCTCAGAATTCAGAAGCTGCAGTCTTCCAGTCTCAGAACCCATCCATGAGAAGATTTTAAGATTGGACTTGGTAGCCGAAACTGTTTTGATGCAGTGCTAAGATTCTAAGCAGGCAGCAGAGGCCAACATAAGAAAGCTTCTTGGATCTTAGGGAAGAATAATTTATTAGAAGGAGAACTTCCATAGGAAGAACCTCATGCAATAGAGAAGGTAATTATATTGGATTTGTTCCTGATTCAAAACTGCAAGCCCAGCTCATTTGAAGTCCTAAGGTCCTCAGGAACTATACAATTTAAGCAACTGAAGTTATTCCCCTTGATTACAATTATTCTGACAAAATTGCCATGATTATTCTTATATATAATCCCATCAGCCTATTTCCTTTGTAAGTATGCAGCATTAGCATAATGTAAACAAACAAATAGTAAGCAAAAGAAAGTTGGTACATGAAATAAAATATTGGTAAAAATAGATGAATGGAATCTGAAGCTGAGGGAGATTCCTGGCATGCAGAGGAGGGTGAACAGCAAGGAAATCATCAGACACAAGCTTGTAGTCCAGCTACCAGAGAGGTTAGGGGTCAACAGGAAACAATCCATCAAATTTTATACGTAAACAACCTGGAGCTTCTCTGGGACGGAGATGGGTGGTTTCTAAAGGAAACGTTGTGCTGGTTTTTGTGGGGAATTGCCCTATTTCTGCATTGGACCTATCATCTAAGCAGCGCCCATGTCTTCCACAATCCCTCTACATTGCCTTGGCCAGGATGTAGCAAAGCAGGTATGAGTAAGTATGGTGCGAGTAATTGTAATGAATAAAACATTTGTAGATTAACGGAGACTCTGTATGCTGTGCTCAGTGTGCCCCTTAATTTCATTACTGCACAAGATCCTGTATTTAATAACTCCTGTATTTCAAAAACTGTGTGAGTGTAATACCCTAATAAAATTACTTTTATATTTCTCTTCGGGTACCCTACTTTCATTTCAATATTACACATTAAGCAAAACTGATAGCTTTTCTTGCTTTTCTTGATATTTTCATGCCTTGCAACACAGGTATTAACCACTGACAGCATTTGATCACCAGCATTTCTTTATCTGAAAATGTTTACAAATGATAACTTTTTTCCTTATCTTCAATATCTGAGGTGATAAAAAGATATCACAGCAATTTCCAATCTGTCCAGTTAAGAGTTTATATAAAACTTGTTCTGAAACAGCAAATGTCCTGCTACAGTTTAAAAATTACAAACTTTTTTTAAAAAAGTAAGCTCTTAAAAAGGATCAAAGAATTTTGCCACCTTCTATCAATTTGCTAGTTTAGATTAGCAGACTTGTTGCATGATTAGTCTTTTCTGCAAATCAAGGTAATCCTCGATTTACAACAATTCATAAAGTGACCATTCAAAGTTACAAAGGCACTGGAAACATGGACTTATAACCAGGGGTGGGATTCAAATTTTTTAACAACTGGTTCTGTGGGCATGGCTTAGTTGGTGGGCATGGCTTGGTGATCATGTTATTGGCTGGGCGTGGCCAACTCAACATCACTCACATCGAGGCATACATCTCCTTGCCTGGCCTCTCATGACTGTGGGGATGCTGCAACAGTCCTAAGTGTGAAAAATGCTCCAAAGTCACCTTTTTCAATGCCATTGTAAATTTGAATGGTCACTCCACACAAGCAAAGTACCAGCAAAGGAGGGGAAAAAAACCTCCAGAGAAATTCTAGAGACAGGAAGTCTAGTCCTGCCAAGAATGTAATAAGGGTTAATGGAGAGGCAGTTTCTGTAAGCAGCACCAGAATGTTTCCTTCCTGCCTTCCTTACAGGATTAGGCCAGCAATTTCTTCTAACAACCAGTTCTCCAAACTACTTAGAATGTTAACAACTGGTTCTAGCAAATAGGTGCAAACTGGTAGAATCCCACCCCTGCATATAACCATTTTTCAGTTACAAGCTTTGCAGCATCCCCATGATCAAAATTCATACGCTTGGCAAATGGTTCATAATTATGACCTCTGCTGTGTCTCAAGGTCATGTGATTCCCCTTTTGAGACCTTCTGACAAGCAAAGTCAATGGGGAAGCCAGGTTCACTTAACAACCAGGATACTAACTTATCAACTGCAGTGATTCACTTAACTGTGGCAAGAAGGTAAATAGGGCAAAACTTACTTAAATGTCTCATTTAACAACATAATTTTTGGGCTCAATTGTGCTGGTGAGTCGAGAATTATCTGTAGTACATAATCTGCTGACTGTGCAGCAATGTTTTTTGAAAACAAAAAATCTGCAAAGTATTGCATGCATTACAGTGATTTTTTAAAAAAAGCCTGTACCTATGCAATAGTGTAATAGCAAACACATATCCTCATTCTACAGTGAATAAATCTGAATCTTCTTTCTTTCTCTTTCCTCCCAAATGAACATGCCTAAACAAATTCTGGCATAAGTGTAAAATGAGAATACTAAACAATAATAATGAACAACACTTTGCCAAACTTTCCAGTGAGCTAGATCAACACCTATTATTATGTTTTCAGGCAGCTACCTCTATTAATAGCATAATGCCCATCATAGCATTCAGCCTCTTACTTCAGTTTTTTTATATATGGAAGAAAAGTGGTCTTGAAACCCTGAAAAGCCACAAAATGATAAATGTTCAAACACTTTCAATAGATTCATGGCTAAATGGACCTGCTTAATTTGATTAAATCTCTGTTAAATTGAATCATTCACTCATGGCTTCACATAATTTTAGTTCTGGCCCCAGACAATTTTCTAGCAGTACAGAATCAACAACTGTATTGTTTCCCTTATTATTATGACTTTTCATATTATGTCCGTATCAATCTACTGCATAGCTCTTTGTCACTGAATTGTAAGGTAAAAGAATCAGCAAGTAATTAGATATTCCAGAGAAAAGTAGATAAAAACGCCTAATCACAGCATTTTCGGATCCTGTCCTATCTAATGACCAAAATGATAAAGGTGTGTGTGTGTGTGTGTGTGTGTGTGTGTGTGTGTGTGTAAGAAACAATATTCAGAACCATCAAAGTTATCAACAATCCTTGGACAAGTTGATTCATCAAAGGGAGATATTTAGGATATTTTGGATACCTGAAAGAATGCATTTAAAAGAATAGATATTGGATTTTATATGCTGGAGATATAAAAATTTGAGGTATAAAGAAACTGACCCCTATGTCATAACTGGTAACTTTTTGGGATAGTATATTAATATATATAAACAGATTTATGATAGAATCTTTAAATGTTGAATTAATTAATATAATGTTAAACTATATACAGATTTGAATTTGACTTTCTACTCGGAATTATAGTTGTATAAAGAATGGGGGTGGCTAAAATAATGAAATTGAGAAATGTAAAATTGATATTATTCCAGATGTCAAAGAGTAGCTGTCGGAAATATGTGATCTCTTTGTTTTGGAAAAGACAACATTTTCTCCTGCTATTTCCTTTCTCCCAAAAGAAATAGTAGTATTTATTACTAGGGCAAAATTTGTGATATTTTACAATAATATTTTATATGATCATTATTATATTATATTCATAAGTAAACCAGTAACTATTGGTAAATATAAAATATATGGTAGATTTTTTCATTTCTTTTTCAGTTTGTACTGTTAGTCCTTTGTTTAGTCTCTATTTAAAAAAAAATAATTAACTATATGCATAACATAAACAAACAATGTGTAGTAAGAGTCAAGGAATGTATGTGCATATATGCATGAGATATATCTACAAAGTATTTCATTACTGTGTACTAATCAAGAGAACCCACACGAAACCTAAAATTATTCAGTGTTTGTAGTACAACTGTTTTAATGGAGGAACACTGGCAGTAACCTCAATGTTTGGGATTACCAGGTTTGCAAGAAAAATACAATTTGACAGCATATACTGGAACAGTACTTACATTTAATTACAAGTGAGCCAGATATGTTGACAAGGAGAAAAAATACATTAAAACCATTGTGTATGAATATTCATCACCAACATTTTGACTCTTTAAGAATCCACATAACAGCATCATCCGCAATCTGTCTATTTATCAGAACATGCTATTTAAAATGTATGACTGAAACTAAAATGAGGAGGCAAAGTAAACACCAAACAGAAGCAGAATGGGGGTATCAAGATCACGGGAAGCCGGGAGTGGCAGTCCTTAAATGTAAGTACTACACCAAGTGTAGTGTTTGTTTTAAAATGTTGTTAAAGCCCTTGTTATGATCTATTCCAGGGCTGTCAAACTCCCGGCCCATGGGCTGGATGTGCCATGCCCACGCCTGGTTTAGTGAAGGGGAAAAAAGTCCCGATATGTCACATGATGCTGCAATGATGAGTTTGACACCCCTGATCTATTCTATCCATCCAAGATTTAGGCATCTTGCTATAAAGGCATACATGTCAGATGCTTCCTCTATAACTTTGGCTGTTGGCTTGCCTGCGCCATGACCAGCTTTGGTGTCAACATGAATTAGTAACGGATTGGTTTGTTTGGGGCTTCGGCCTACAATATATTGCAGAGAAGCAATGAACTTCAAGGAGTGAAGAGGCACCACTCGGTCATCATGATCAGCCGTAAGAAGTAGGATTGCAGGATATTGGACTCCATCACCTTCTGGTATTTTGATATTGTGAAGAGGAGAGTATCTGCAGAAGAGATACAAGCATTTATTTATTTATTTATTTGATTTGTTCATTACTTACAAGATAATAGGTAGAAGTATAAACATGAATAAGAAACAGGAAATAGGTACGAATAAATGGGGACAGTAGGCACGATTGTGCACTTATGCATGCCCCTTTGTACTTTGTGAACACTTATTGGCCTTCAATAGTCAGATAAATGGACAAGCAATACTGCCTTCTACTTCAAAAGATTATTGTTTTATTAATTTATTATTTGATTATTTTCTTTTATTAGTTTTGTTTTTTATATATGATGCTTTTATATCCCTGTAAGTTGCCTTGAGGCGCCATGTGCGATTAGGTGGCAATATAAAATTTCTAAATAAAGAAATAAAAGTTCTAAGGAATGTGGGAGGAGCAGGATTGCTGCAGGTAGAAAAACAATTGGATATGGCCATCCATAATATGTAATACAGGACAATCCATGTCATGGAAACAGGCATCTGGTCCTGAAAAATTATTCCCACTGAATCCTATACTTTCTATACCTGCATTATTTCCATCTTCCAGCATGGACTTGAAGCATAAATAAAGCTGGAAAACTTACTTTACTAGCAGATACCTTGGTATAACAATAGCAATAGCACTTAGACTTATGTTCCGCTTCACAGGGCTTTCAGCCCTTTACAACCCTCTCTAAGCAGTTTACATAGGCAGCATATTGCCTCCAATAATCTGGGTCCTCATTTTACTGACCTTAGAAGGATGAAAGGCTGAGTCACTCTTGAGCCCGTGAGAATTGAATTGCTGGCAGTCAGCAGAATTAGCCTGCAAAACTGCATTCTAACCATTATGCCATCATGGTATGATCAACAAAGGTTAAAATTAGCAAATTCAGTGCTACAGGTTATTAGGATATAGATCAAAAATAAGCGAACTCCTGGCATCTTAACTGCTTGATATAATTCTCTATAGGATTTTCTTTCTGTTGTGGAACACTACATAGTTTTGTCACCAAATCTTTAAAAAAATATTATGTAGCTGAAGAAAATACAATCCATTCAAACTATCAAGATATTATTGGAACATCCAGGAAAATATAGGGCTTCTAAGTTCATAAGAGAAGTTTCTAAAATGGGAATACAGAAAACATATATTTATGCAGTAAATGAGCATCTGCCAACCTGGCAACCTGGCTTGCAGTTTGGGGAGATTATGACACATGGTGGGGGAAGGCTGGTCTACATCCACATTTAATTTATACTATTAAATCACATTAAAAAAAACCTTTATAGTACTCAGCTTTTGTGCAACAAAATAGAAAAATAAACAGCATCTTTATTATTCTTATTTAGAGATCTAGTAGAGTATACTGTATGTCAACAGGGAGATATTCTTTACGTACTTGAGCAGCCAATCAAACTGTTCTTTATAATCCGAGCAGCCAAAATCTGTAGTCCATGCATGACCAATGGTGAATTTGTGGAATTTTAGCATGTCCATCACTCCAACCTGAGCAATCACACAGGCAAATAGATCTGGGCGCTGGTTAGCACAGGCAGCTGAAAAAGTTGGAAAGATACTCATCTATTAGCATTGATGAATACCTACTATAGAATGGTTTCAAATACAGCGAATAAGAGATAGTGTTTGAAAATTTAAGGATGTACCAAATGTAAAGCAGAGGAAAGAACCAATCTAGAACTAAGAAGAAATTTCCTGAGATAATAATTGATAAGTGGAATGATTTGTCTCCAGAAGTTGTTGTTGCTCCAACACTGGAGGTTCTAAAGAAGAGATTGGGCAACATTTGTCTGAAATGATACAGGGTTTCCTGTTTGAGCAAGGGATTGGACTACTAGAAGACTCCAAGGTCCCTTCCAATTCTGGTTATTCTGTTAAGCAACAATTTTCTTTAAAAACTAACAGCAGATGATACTGGAACACTTCCACCATGAGATTAAAACACGTTGTGTTTAATATTTAATATAACTATGAAAAAAGGTCTGTTTTGAACACAGGTGGGCAACAACTCCCTAAGCCCTTTCTGATATAATGTCTGTATCATTTTCTCCCTCTTTTGAGGCTTAGGCAAGAGCAACTAGCTTCCCGAATTTTAAAGAAAGCACTCCACACACTCAAAATAAATAAATAAATTGGGGACTCCTCCCCAAATCCCACTTTATGCATTATGCATCTATAATCCAATTTATGCCATTATCCCACCTATTACAGATATTTATTTTTCTAGAACACTGTAAATGCAATTCCCAGACTCAAAAAACAAAAACAAAAAAAAGAGTCCACCTCTGCATCGTCAATTAGCAAGTGCGCAAGAAGGGCAACATGCAGCAAAAATAGTAACTGGCAATTAAAAATGGGCAGAAGTGAATGTTTACTAATCCCTTAAGTTCAGTGGTGGGATTCAAATTTTTTAATACCGGTTCTGTGGGTGTGGCTTGGTGGGCGTGGCATGACTTGGTGGGTGTGGCTTGGTGAGCGTGGCAGGGGAAGGATACTGCAAAATTTCCATTCCCACCCCACTCCAGGGGGAAGGTTACCGCTGGTTCTCCAAACTACTCAAAATTTCTGCTACCAGTTCTCAGAACTGGTCAGAACCTGCTGAATACCACCACTGCTTAAGTTGGATACAAATTTGAATTGTGTTTTCCCAGCAGAATATTTTTCAGCTCTACGAGCTATAGAGCTCATTATCCTTAGGCAGACTCTGCCTGGAAAAATTAAGATTTTATAGTTTAACATAGTTGGAGAAAACCAGGTCTGAAAACCATCTTTTTACAGTAGGTACTGAATTCTTTGTGTAGCTAGTCATGTCCAACACATTATATACAGACCGATGTGCAAGTGTGCATATCTCTATGATGTCTAGATGCGGAGCAAATTTTGTGAATCTGTTAACAAGTGCATTGATGTTTTTTTTTTTTCAAAAAAAGGCCTTTTAAGGCTTCTCCTTTGCATACACCCAAGTTGCTTGTGCATTCCATCCAAGGTAATCAAATAACAGGGAAATATACAGCCTCTGATCTTACCAACTAAGAGGCCTCCATTTGAACCTCCATTAATAGTCAGCCTTTTTGGAGATGTATATCCCTCTTGGGCAAGATACTCAGCTGCAGACTGGAAGTCATCAAAGCAGTTTTGTTTATTGGCCAAGATTCCACCTAAGAATAGAGAAAAACCAATTAACTCCTTCAGAACTCATACAGACTTTGGATCCCAGCATAATGCAGGGAGGTGCAAAAAGCACATTTTGGGATGACTTTTCAGTTCCATGAGTATTTTAAATAATTAATGCGGTTGGGAATTCAAAAGACAATAGAGATCACTTTCAACAAAAGAATCAGAAGATGGTTCTGCCAATAACTTTAATGCTTTCAAAATGCTTTGAATAATGCATAAATATGCTGAAAACTGGAAAGTACAAAATAAAACTTCACTACTATTTTAGGTAATGTTCCTATTAACATATCCCATCTAAAAGCATTACATGGAGCAATGTAACTATGAGTAGCCCTGAAAAAAAGTTGCCTAGATTTTTAATGGAAACTATAATCTTCCTTTTTTATATAGCATTTTAAAATACATAAATGTATGAAAAAAACAGATGAACAAGATTTTTTAAAAACAAGCATGAAACTTGGTATCAAACACATGGATCTTCATTATGAGACCAGGTATTTTTGCTTTATTTATTTGTATCCTGCCTTTATTGTTTTTACAAATAATCAAGGGGGTGAACATATCTAACCCATCTTCCTCCTCCTATTTTCTCCACAACCTGTGAGATTAGTTGGGCTGAGTGACTAGTCCACAGCTGGCTTTCATGGCTAAGGTGGGACGTGAATTCAGCTTCTCCCGCTTTCCAGCCTGGTGCCTTAACCACTAGACTTCTATCTCAGCAATCAACTCAGAAGAACTAAAATGAACAAAATATAATGCAATCAAGTACTAATTTATTAAGCTGTGCGGCAAGGGGGCCTATGTAACTTGTCTCTTAAGCCTACCCTTACAATGGCTCACATTCATTTATCTGTGATATTGTGATGAGCCTTGGTGACACAGTGGTTAGAATGCAGTATTGCAGGCTAATTCTGACGACTGCTAGTAGTTTGATTCTCAAGCTTGAGTCAGCCTTCCATCCTTCCAAAGTCAGTAAAACGAGGACCCAGATTGTTGGGGGTAATATGCTGACTCTGTAAATCATTTAAGGCTGTAAAGCACTCTGAAATGGTATATTGGTCTACATGCCATTGCTAGTGTGCTTCTGGTCACTTGCAGAGCTCCCTTTTTGGAGTTGTGACTGCTGTGACACTTGAAACCCAAATGGCTTGCATAAAATTTACTAATCATACGAAGTCTGAGTGGCCATAGAAAAAGGTGACTCTTTTCAAATTCTTTAACCATTTCAGTGTCTTCTTTATATTAGGGGTGCCAAACTTGAGTCGTCACGTGATGTATCATGACTTTCCCTCTTTGCTAAAATGGGGTTGGGCATCGCCAACATGTGATGCATCCGGCCTGCAGCCATGAGTTTGACACCCCTGCTTTATAGTATTTCAAAACCTTGGTAAATGAAAAAAATAACTCTAGAAGTGCCTGATGACTCTCTTGCTATCATATAGTAAGTTATGAAATATTCAAAATAAAATGCAACCAAGGCTGAAAGAAACATGTAACATATATAGCTTTGAAAAAGCTGCAGTAGAGAGAGGAGCCTAGATAATCTTGAATGAACTAAAAAAAAGTGAATAAACAGGATTGGACCTGGCTTGTTGTATTTGAACCGAAGTTCATCTAGAAATCCCAAAGTTGTACTTAGATTGGAAGGTCTAAAAAAATATCTTGGGAAAGGACAATAACCAATCAAATCTATAGTGATGCCAAAAAAACCTCAACATGGTCACACCCATAGCCTTTGGCTCTGAATATGCCATGGAAAACTAAAGTGAGTAGAAGAGAAATCCTGTCCTCCTTCAGTAGCAAAGCTTTATTTACTTATTTGTTGCATTTGTATAGCCACCCATCTTATACCAAATGCCAGTCATTTCTCAAATTATGAGTGAAAACAATGTAAAATCATATAAAAACCATATGACAAAGCCAAACATCACAGTCTTTCCATGCGATCTAAAACACACTGCACTAAAATTAATAAACAGATCTCTAGTTACTACCAATATGCAATCTGCAATGCCAATTATGCTAGGAAATGTGGAAATAAGGACCATTCAGGACAATGTAACCGTTATTAAAACACACATTAAAGCTCTTCAGCTGATTTCCAGTTATTGCAAAATACTTCACTTGGGTTATTAAAATGCTGCCATGAATGTTTTATATGTCCTGAAACCATTGTGTTCCTTTTCCAAATTATTGGTAAACTCTTTAAATTAGGGAAACAGTGAACACTAAAAGTCATAAAATGCTAACATGAAAAGGAAGCAACATAGATATTTTTCAAGCATTCTTTGAAAGCGCTTTTGAAAAAAATGCAATTTAGAATAACATTTTTTGAAAGAAGAAGTGTGAGAAAGTTTAATAAATTTGAGACTGTGATGATTTATGATGTTACATAATGTTCAGGGTATGGAACTTTATCTAGAGCAGGGATGTCAAACTCAAGGCCCACAGGCTGGATCTGACCAGCGGGGTGCTTAGATCTGGCCCGCGGGACTGCCCTGGAAACAGCGAAGGACCAGCGGGCGCACCTGACATAAGTGATGTCGAGCTGGCCACGTCCACCCTGGCCCTGAGGTCAAACACAACCCTGATGCAGCCCTCAATGAAATCGAGTTTGACACCCCTGAACTAGGGCATAAACAGGAGTAATGAATAGTAAGGCAAACAAAGCTGAAATCAAAGAGATAGCTATAATCATTCAGCAGTCAGATCCACCATGTTTTTATATTTATAATAAAATCAGCTTGTCACTGACCAACATTATTTTTGCAATATTAAATCTTACCTTTGTGCCAGGTCTCGCCATATTCACCACCTCCCCTGATATTAGCCACGGCTAGAATACCGCCTAGGTGCCTTATAAAAATAAGCCTTGATACACTGCAAAATAATAAAAGCAGCCTAAATTAATAGTTAAATATGTGTAAGTTATGGCCTTTTGAATCAGCTGGAGCTAAAATATAGCAGTAGCAAGAGTATGGATTTTCGTGATGCGTTACCACAAAGGAGAAAATATTTTACTGATACCATACATGTTGTAATGAAAAATCTTTCCATGGTTCATTCAGCAAACCTAACTCACTGACCAAAAATTATTTCAAGTCTGCCTTTCATAGCACTGACCTAAAATCAATGAAAGAAATAAAGTCAATGAAAAATCCACAGTAGTTTTTTCAAGTTTTTCTAATTCTATATTTCATGTATGGAAATACAGGTAGTTCTGGACTTCTAACCACAATTACAACCAGAACTATCATCACTAAGCAAGGTGATCATTAAGTGACTTTTTTGCCATGGTTTTTAATAAATCATGTAGTCACTAAGCAGATGTGGCTTCCTCCACTGACTTTGCTTATTGGAAGCCTATTAGGAAGGTCACAGGTGACGATCATGTGACCCTGGGATGTTGCAACCATTGTAAACACACGTCAGTAGCTGAATTCTGGTCATGTGACAGCGGGGATGCTTCCACATTTATGAGAGGAACAGGTCCTAAATCACTTTTTTCAGCACTGTTATAATAATCGTTAAAGATTGTAAGTTAAAGACTACCTGCAATTCATTTATGCAACTTTAGTCTTGAAGCTTAGATGTTAGAAAGGAGAAGTATCTTGATATGTTTAATTTAGGAGAAAGCATCTATATATCTATCTACCTACCTACCTAGCTACTTATCCTTAGTTAATTCAACTCTATTAAAGATCACTTCAGTATTACATAATTCATATCTTTGCAACAATGCTAGACAGGGAGAACCCATAATACTCCTGTATTTACTATAATTTAGTAGTGCTAAGAAATATTTAGACTTTCCAACTTGGAATATATTTAGATATACCAGCCTAACAACTTGAACTCCATTTCTATATCTGTATAACCATTTGAAGGCACATTTCCTGAGCACATATGAACAAAAGCTGCCTAGAACAGCTTATTTTTTCAGTTTGGAATGCCACAAATGGAAGTCTAATTGTTTAAAAAAATCCCTGTCAGATAATAAAAATAAATTAGACATATCAAACATAAAAGGAATGTAGCTTTTAGAAAACATGCAAAAAAGCATATTTGAAGTAAAATAATACCATCTTTCTGTGTGAGAATTCATTAATTAGATTTTAAAATTCATCCTCTTCTCCTTACCTCTTTGTCAACCTGGGTGTTTGTATTAGCTGGTTTGGCAGTAGCATGTTTTATTGGTTTTATCTGTGAATGAAATCTATTAATGCTTTTGGGTGCAATCTTAAGTGAATTGAATTGGGGTGGGTGGGGGTGGGACTTGAACCGTGGATTATCTGCCACTTCCAAAGCTTTGCTGACTTGGCATAAGTTATTATTTATTTTTAGATTATTCTTTGTTTCAAATAAAAGGCTGTGTTTGCATGTTTATAATTTGAAGCTTTCTAATGGGGGCTTTGGGGTATCTGCATAAATACCCTGCACCAACTCTGTTACTTCTGAAGATGGAGGGAAAGCTCAGCGCTCTTTTAATGTTAGCGCATAAAGTAAGAGAACTGCAACAAATTGCAAAGATGTCAGAGACATTAATCAAGCCTAAATACTATTAACCATGTTACAATTAATGATCACAAAAGGAAAAAGGATAGGAAAAAAGTCTGCTGTCAAATGATATTGAAAATTAATGGAGTCTAATGTTGAGAGGGAAAAATTATATACTAGAAAAAACAAATCATCCTGAGAAATATGCCATATTTTCCCAAAATAATATTATCTACATGCCACTTTATACAGAAAGCTAGCTGCCATTCAGAGATGGTTTATATGTCAAATTATGATACAGTACATACTGTATCTACTTCCACTATTCCTACCTTAGAAGTGATCTATTTTGTTTGCCTATTCTTTTATTCTAATTAGTTCTCTGATCAAAGCAATGGTTCTCTACAGAGCCAATACATCTCTTATGCACGCCTGAAGTAGAACAGAGTGCTTAGAGAAAGAACCTCCAGACATCAGGTTATGTATATTGATGTGACATATTCTATTTGCTTTATATAATAAATAATAAACTGACACAAAAATGTATTATCCTGCTGAGTTCAGAGTTTGAAGGTTTGAAAGATCTGGAGCTTGAAGATTATGAAAGTGTTTTGAAGTCCACCTAGAACAAAAAGCTTGTTTCTTGCTTTTGGGTGTATGACTCATTTATTTAGTGTTTACTGTCAGACTGTATCTATATATTTCTGGTTGAATGATTAGTACTATATAAGAAACATAGAACAACAAGAAAAAAATGAGGGCAGACATCATGTAGAAAGAAAACACGTGGAATGCTGGTGGAGTATAAGTATTTTTCAAGTCATCTGTTCTGGAATTGTGTGTATGGGTAACTTCCTTCCTTCCTTCCTTCCTTCCTTCCTCTCTCCCTCCTTCCTTCCTTCTATTTTTCCTCCCTCCCTCCCAAATCCCTACAATCTATATGGCTTATATCAAAGAAGCTCTGCTTTATAAAAGGAACTAAAATATAAGCAGACCACATAGTCTACAGTGTAATTAAGAATTTATAAGAGACTCTTCAATTAGGGAGGAAAAATGCTGTGTAGAAATGAAATGAGGACATATTGTAGGAAAGTTTGAATAATACCTTTTTCAGAAGATACAGAATGGATGTGATGCAGCCCTCCCTCATCTCCCCAAACAGATTTTTATTGGGTAACAGGGAGACTTAAAAATAAATGACAATAAACAGAGCCTCCTAGTCCAGGAATGGATGTCCAACACTAAGGTCCCCTTAGCCATGGCTACCACCTGCTTTTTCAGCAGGAGCCATGTGTCCACTGCCTGAGATGTACACTGAGTACATCTCAGGCAGGGTCACCTCATCTAGGACCAGAGGTGGAAAAACCTTGACATTAGATAGCCCAAGACCAAGCATACAAAGTCACTCAGTCTTACTTAAGACTCAGGGAGCCTGCTGAGGGGGAATACTACTGTGGAGCGGGGCAGGAGATATAGAGTGGGGTATGAACCCTAACCCCAAACTGTCGGATTACCTCACAGAGAGGCTTCATGTAGATGTTAAATAAGAGGAGAAAGGAGATCTTACCCCATCAACACTGACTGGAACTGACCCAGAAAGAGGAAAACCAGCCTAACACATGGCTACCCACCCTCAACTCCCAAAGCCAGTCCAGAAGGATAACATGATCTGTGGTATTGAAAGCTGCTAAGACATCAAAAAGAGTAAGAATGAATGCATTATCCCCATTCACCTTTGTGTCATCCAAGAGTGTGATCAATGCTACCTAAACTAAATTGTAGCAAGATACAATGATTGTTTATGTATTTGTGATGCTCCATATCCTTACGTTTTGTCTCCAGAGAAGACTGAACTGCTTCTGAAGGAGTAGGTCCATATTTGGGTTCATCCTAAAGTCATGGCACCTACTTGATCAGAAGGTGAAAGCCATAGCTGAGGGACCCTTGCTCACCTTCAAATGGTACAAACAGTTGCATTCCTATTTTCAGGTTTCAATAATTTTTTCACACACTCCCAACTTTCCACTTACCTATAGCTTGGTGTGATAGATATGTTGAAGCCACCGTAACCATAAAGGAAGGCAGGATGAGACCCATCCAATTTGATTCCTTTTTTGTGGATAATAAACATTGGTATCTTGGTACCATCTTTGCTTGGATAAAAGACCTGAGACAAAAAGGAAAGGGAAAATAAAACTATGAATGATGAGAATACTTAGGAGTATTCTTATAGTCATATTAGTGACTCTTTTACCTGAACAAAACAAAAGGGAGAACGAACATTTTCATTGCTGGGATACCTAATAATCAGAGTTTCCTTCCTAGACCAGAAATTTAAATGCCTATGAACTTTTCTTCAGCTCTGAAGAAAAGTTGCCAATTATTCTTATTTGTGATAAGCATCTTTAAAAAGTGTTTTACATGCTGCTGATACATTTTGGCAATATCATAATCCTAGAAGAGAAGTGGAGAACCTCTGGCTCTCTGGATGTTACAGATTAAAATTTTTAGTATTAGTCATGCAACCTAAGACTTCTGGGAATTACAATTCAACAATATCTGAAAAGCCACAGCTATTTAGGCTTGGTCTACAATGAATTATGTACACTATCCAGGCAGATATTTGGTTTTTTTTTTAATCACAGATAGTGATCATAAATATGAAATGTGTTGCCATAAAATATTACTACGGACAATGAATTGATAGCAACTTAAAATGGAAAAGAACAAATTCATGAAAAATCAGTTTATAAAGAGCTTGCTGACTTTATATTACCTCCTGAATCATTTAAATACTATTTGCTGGGAAATGCAATGGAAAAGGTGATTTGGGGCCTTCTTAAAAGTTTGACTGGCATTTTACTAGTATTGAGTACTGAACTTAGCTGATGCAGCAAGGCTTTTGCAATATTTATAGATAACTTGGAAACAAAACAATGTTTATATCAAATGCATTCATGGAGGTGAAAAGGAAGAAACCCCAAGGAGAAATCAATCACTATAGAGAGATTGTTACTGTTAAGATGCCTAGAACCTCTATTACAGAATTGCTGACTCACATAATATATATTTAAAAAATAACACAATGTTTTGATACAGATATTCATAAAGTTAAGGCTTAATTAACAATGGATGTATAGAAACAGAATAAAACAAAACCCAAGGAAATTTATAACAGCAAGCATAAAGACAATCAAAATGTTAAATGGTGTTTATGTTTGATAATGGCATAATCACACTCTGGCTCTTCCTAAAACCTTTTTGTTATTTTGCTAGATGTTAAAACTCTGCAGAAAACAGATTTATTTGCCATTTCTGATTTTGCTGCCATTTTGAATACTGGAACAGTTGAGTTTCAGATGGATTTTGTCTTTTCTTCCCAACTATCTCAGTTCCTTTAAAAATAATTTTACATTGTAAGACTTTTAGCAGAATTCCTGAATTTAGTCAAAATAGTCAAAGAGATGTTTATAACATGGGTCTCTGACCTTGGCCACTTTAAGCCTAGAGGACTTCAACTCCCAGAATTCCCCAGCCAGATTTGCTTTGCTGGCTGGGGAATTCTGGGAGTTGAAGTCCTCCAGGCTTAAAGTGGCCAAGTTGGAGATCCCTGGTCTATAAAGTTAAATAGAAGGAATTAATAAATGAGTAGCATTTATTTCCAGTGCTTAGATTTCTTCCCTAAATGAGGTAATTTCCAGATGTGAACTTCCAAGCTAATAACTGAAATTCATATTTCATGAGTTTCAGATTGAGGAAAGCTGTCCTATATAATTCTTGGGCAAGAATCCTTGGCTGCATTCTGAAATTAATCAGCAGTTTACACAAAAAGCTCTCTCTAGGTATGATGTTCTATTTTACCCCATGAAGAACATGCTCCACTTTTCTGAGGCGTTACTTTATGTATAGTTAATAACTAGGCCATAACCACGTGATATCTGGTGACACAGAGATCCCATATATGGAGAACTTTCCCCAATTAGACAACCCCCAGAAATACATCTCTTCTAGAACTCCCATCCAGCCTAGTCAATGTATAACCTGAGTAGGAATTCAAGGAATTGTAACCCTAGTTATATGGGGGCAGCCAGTTTAGTGAATGATGATTTAAAGTTTTAAAAATTATAGAATGTTTACCCTGATTTTTTTTAATACGAAAAAAATATTTTCTAAAGAAACTGAAGGAACCTTCCCTGGAATAAAGCAATGAAATGAGGCAAGAGCTATTTTTCCAAATAGATGTTAATTCCACACAACCTGGCTGGGGAATTCTGTGAGTTGAAGTCTACAATCTTTTAAAGTTATGATGGTTGAGAAACAATGCCCTAGGACCTCATATGTCTTGACTGTAACCATCAGAAATCTCCAATAATTTTAAAATTATCACTTTTAATGCTACAAAATGGGATAATAAATTGTTTAAAACTTAAATAATGTTTTATATTACTATATATCCTTAATTCATAATTATCTTTAAACACATATAAGCCTTTTAGGTGTTGGCTGTAAAACTGCTTTCTGGAGTGTGGCCCCAGTATAATAGCCAAAAGTTCTCAGCTAAGAAAAAAATACCCCTGGATAGGGATCCTATTTTTTTAAGCAACCTGTTAATTATTCTTCAATATTATGGTACTGAACGTTTTAGAAAGTCACAAGTATCTAGGAGCCGATAACACATCTCAAATTGTAAGACGAGAATGCTAACAAATCAAAATAATGAATTCTTCAAAGAACATATACTGATTAATTTGAGGATGAAAGGATTTTTTGAGGGAAAAACGGAGGTTCAGCATAAACTAATGCCTTTACACCTATCCTATGAGACTCAGATGTAGATTGAGTGCCAACTAATTTTTCTTTGAATCCCCATGGTGGTCCTGGTGCTGATTTGTTTTGAGTAAAAGAGAGGCTGGCTATGCTAATGATGTCAGGCTTGTTAAACTTTCAGAGTAATATAATGAAGGGTCCTATCATAGATATGCCAACAAGGCTGTTATGAAAAATAGAAGACTCGGGATAAATAATCAAGGAAGCCCTTCAGAAAAGTTCATTTTTCTATTCCCCATTCAAGGGACAAGAAGCAGTGTCATGCTGATCAAGGCCAAGTGCCAGAAGCCAGTCATTTAGAAAAATCCCTCATTAGTGAATTTGGTAGCCTGGCAGCAAATAAGCTCACCAGGTGGCAGGAGGGGGAAAAAAAAGAGAGAAATGGAAGAGCAAAGACAATTTTCAAAACAGTTCAAACAGAAATCCAGCAGCGAAGGCAAAGGATTAGTGAGCTTTTATTATTATTCTTATTCTCCTTACTTGACAAAATTGAAGAAATAGTTTTATTCACCCTGAAAAAATATTACATGTAAAAAAAGTTTGATATAAAACAGATCAAATAATTTTGAAGTCATTTAATTCTACTTATATATGATAGGAAGTTGAAAGACTATTTCATATAAAATAAAATACTATTTGATATAAAATAAAGCAGTATTCTCTATCATTTAGGTATTACTAAAAATTCTTTCATTAAGGTAGTTATTAGTGATCCTAACAATTACTGAAATGGTAGTTAATAGAGAAACTAGAGAGAAGAGAAACTAGAGAGAAGAAATAAAACTAACGTAAGAGTCTTTGCAATATTAAAAAAAATAATCATAATTGGAACTGGAGCATGTGGTCCCAATTCTTTTCTTCTTCTACTTCAATGTTTGCTCTATCTCAAAGTTTTTTCATATTTGACATACAGTCACCCTAGTAACAAATGGTATTGCAGAATAAGTCTCCTTTGCCATTGATTATCAACAACTCCTTAATACTACATCCAAAGAAAGCTCATTTGTTCCAGGATTATCTCAGCAACAAAAGCTTTTTTCTGAGAACTATGTTTAGATGTTCTTTTAGGTACTTATGTGCCACTCACGAACTCCCATCATCCACTCTAAACTTTTTTCTTAAACTTATTAGTTGATTCTTATGCAGCTTCAAATCCTAGTTTGGAATCAGATGAAATATCAGTAATGGACTAACTTCTGAACAGGTGGCATTATTAACAATCTTGCATAGGGACTTCCAGGGGAGGCATGGTGAACTGAATATGTCTCTGTGAAAGCAGAACCAATGACTACAGCAACATCTGCCAAAGAACTGGTCAAAGATCTAGTGAGTAGACTGGTTCTTCAAAACTCCTTGGATAAAGAGAGGATGGGAGATTGCTCATATGTGCTCCACAGGACTGAAGTCTTCTGAGGGTTAGCGGTCGGGAGCTGGAGGGATTAACCATCTTGATCACAACTGTTGTGGAGCCTTTTAAAGGCTACTAACATTGTAAGACTCCATTTCGGAAATTGCCAATTAACTAAAAAGTTTGAAAAGTCACCAGGTGAATTCAACTTCAACTCTGAACAGAAAAAACAATTATAAGCATAAGAACTTAAAGAACTTGAAATAAACAGCAAAGAACTAAATGAGGTTTTGATCTAAGAAAGTTACAAATGGGGAATATTGACTTTTGCTATAAGATTTTAGAATTAACTATAAAAAATAAATAGCTTTTCATAAGAACCAAAATTATTTTGGCTGTATTGATTCATAACAAAAATGCATAACTATTATTTTAAAAATTGAACACTGGGGGGGGGAGGGACTGAAGATTCTAAGGAAAGGGATAAAATACAAACCAGCTTTTGATGTCTGTTCATGGATTCTCCCTAATTTTGAACTTAATTGTTCCATGGAAAAATTAAAACTCCAGCTAGGCTTTGATTAATTTCTCTTTCTCTCTCATCTTAAGGTTTCCAAAAAATGAGGAGCTAAATGCCAATATAAAAATAACTAAACAGATGTTTGCAAAATCAGTCTGATTTGTAATAAATGCCTGCTTAAATAGTTTAGCAGGTTGCACTAGAAACAACCATTATCATTTGTCCACTGACCTAATTTTAAACAGCATGAAACACATGTCAGAAATATTAGTTTTTTTTTAAAAAAAAAGCCAAATTTAAGTATCTTCTTTTATTGAACCTCTGATTAGGACAAATAATTGGAAAAAAATATTAGTGATGACATTTTCCAAAACTTTCATAAATATGCAAACAATAAATATATCAGGACAGTTCACTTCTAATATTTCTACCTAAAAATGGAACCTGAACATATTTAAAAGCATCAATACAC